AGCGGTGTCGCTTCGAACCTTTGGATCAAAGAATGGGCCAACCAGTACACCGCAAGCCTCGGAACTGTATCACTGTCTGGAATACAATCTAGCATGTCTCCGCAGCATTCTTCCAGTTCATTTCCGTTGCCGGCCTATTTTGCGTCTGCTACCAGTTTCGTTAAGAATACGTCTTTCCTCACTCCTGCAAGTTACTCGCCCGGTGATGTACCGGAAGTTAACGTTGACTACTACCTCGGTGTACTTGCATTGATTGGTATCGCCGGCGCAATCCTAGCATTGATCCGCGACATCTGGCTTTTCTTCGGATCGCTTACCGCATCTTGGAAGCTTCACAACAGGCTTATGTCTGCCGTGTCTAGGGCGAAGTTCAAGTTCTTTGACGTAACGCCGCTCGGCCAGCTGATGAATAGGTTTAGCAAGGATCTTGAGGCCATCGACCAAGAAGTTGCGCCTGTTGCCATTGGTGTTATGACTTGCGCAGTTGCTATTCTGATTACTGTGGTGCTAATAGCAGCCATTACCCCCGGCTTCTTGGTCGCAGGTGTATTCATTACTGGTCTGTATATCTTAGTCGGTATGTTTTATCTTCGAGCATCCAGGGATCTCAAAAGGCTCGAGTCAGTGAATCGAAGCCCTCTCTTCCAGCAATTCGGCGAGACCCTCTCTGGTGTCACTACCATTCGTGCCTACGGCGATGAGCGACGATTTATTCGGGAGAACCTGACTAAAATCAACACGCAATCTCGTCCGTTCATCTACCTTTGGGCTGCTAATAGATGGCTGGCGATCCGAACGGATCTCTTGGGTGACTTCGTATCGTTCTTTGCCGGTGTTTTTGTTATCCTCAGCTTAGGGAATATTGATGCCGGCTCCGCGGGTGTATCTTTAAGCTATGCTATTGGGTTCTCCGAAAATATCCTTTGGCTCGTACGACTCTATGCCGCGAACGAACAGAACATGAATTCCGTCGAGCGTGTCAAGGAATACCTCGACGTGGAGCAGGAGGCCGAGCTGATTATTGAAAATAACCGTCCTCCCCAGAACTGGCCCGCACACGGAGCAGTGGAATTCATCGGATATTCTACGCGATACCGCAAGGATCTTGACCCAGTATTAAAGAACGTTACTTTTAAGATCAATCCCCGCGAAAAGGTCGGCATTGTTGGACGTACTGGTGCTGGAAAGAGTTCTCTTACGCTAGCAATTTTCCGTGCTCTGGAAGCAGAGAGCGGCAAAATACTCATCGACGATATTGATATCAGTACGATAGGCCTACAGGATCTCCGAGAAGCTATCACTATTGTGCCCCAAGACCCGACTCTTTTTACTGGCACCATCCGAACAAATCTTGATCCTTTTGACCTTTATACGGACGAGGAAATTTTTGCGGCCCTCAGGAAAGTTCGACTCGTCGGGCCGAATGAAGCTCTTCCGTCGCTGATCCAAAACGATGGGGTCCAGGACTCCCAAGCTCCACCTACTCCATCTTCGCCAACTACAGCAAACAAGAACATCTTCCTTGATTTGTCTTCACCGGTTGCGGAGTCGGGTACAAATTTGTCTCAGGGCCAGAGGCAACTACTCTGTCTTGCTCGCGCCATGCTGAAGAATCCCAAGGTACTCGTGATGGACGAGGCCACAGCGTCAATCGACTACGCCACGGATTCTAAGATCCAAGAGACGATCCGCGAATTGAAGACGACTATCATCACGATTGCGCATCGCCTCGCTACCATTGTTGATTATGACAAGGTGCTCGTTTTAGACCATGGTGCTGTTGTGGAATACGGCCATCCTTACGAGCTTTTACAAAATGAGGATGGAAACTTCAGGAGCATGTGCGAGATGAGCGGGGATATGGATACACTGGCAAAGTCGGCTAAGAAGGCCTGGGCCGATAAGAAGCTTGTGGACGACGAGTAGGAAAAGGTCCGCATACGTACCAACCCAGATCAAGACGGTTTGGGGGCAGTCAGGATTCCTGCCATCAGGATACACCGTTAATATGGTGAAGCGCGTACTTCCTAGAACACTCTGATTATTGGCATTTACAGTTGGCAGGCTGTACGACAGACGGTCTGCGCTCGGGTGAGGCGTGTCTATATATAAATTAGAGACCGCCAGCGATATGTGTTTATATGAAATAAACCCTTTTTTGGAATGCATGTATGTTTGTGATTTCATGTTTACTCTTATTATCGCTATATATTTTTACTAGAAATTGTATATGTACTTGAAAGATATCTACAGAATATATAATAATCATTGATACTACGAAACCTTATTTGAGCGTCCATGTTTTCGTAGAGATGAAAGAGTTACTTGTCACTTAGCATATGGTTATAGTAACACCCACCCACCTTATTATTTGGTAGTCATGGGAGTAATCTATGTAAACAAGTGTATCAATCAGACTGGGCCTACTATAAGATACAGGGCAGTCTGGGTCCCTTATACCCTCCAGTCAGGTTTAACAGGTGGCTGTATGAAATATAAATTGTTCATTAGGATACACCAAATCTATAGCATGTATTGTCCTATTAGTCCTTTATTTCAGATATCGTCTGTGTACGAGGCTTTATATTCGCTCTACAATAAGATTATCTTTTTCATTATAAGCTACTTGGACATGCAACTAGACCTGAGTAAAAACATATGCATTTGATATTACAGACCCTCTACTCATGAATGTCAAAGACGCAAAATTCATTACGCAAAACCACATTCTTATACGACAGCATAACACACCAAGCAGCATTTCAGGACTTTTCAATGCCAATCCGATTCATGTACATGCAGGTAAGTGAACACTATACAATACACAACGAGGGTCGCTATAGGCATATTACAGCCTCCAAATGTACACCCTATGCTTTGCTCTGCTTTTTAACCTTTTCCCAGTGCCGCAACTCGATGAATGCATTTTTTTCCTTTCCAACCCCCGTGATGACGGATGGATTACCCCACCCTATTCATTTATCCTAACGCGTACCACATGAAGCCCGCTAACAAGCAGTAGACAGCCTTAGCGAAAGGGTCTGCTATGCAGCCAGGTTCTACTCAGAGGCCTTGGCCTTGGTCTTGCTGCTGGCACCGCTCTTGACACGGCGCGCGGCAGGGCGGTTCAGGTGGTCCGAAGGGATCCAGCTCTCGTCGTAACCCTTGTCAGTGCCGGTCGCAGAGCCTTCGCCTCCAGACAGGGGCTCCTTCTCGACAACGGGGGCAGGAGTGCGGCCCTTCTTGCTGGGCTTGGTGCTGGGGGTGCGCTTGGTCTGGGGGAAGAGAGCCTCGATATAGGTCTTATACACGAAGTAACTAGTGCCGGCGAAGGCAGCGGCGAGGACGACGTATAGGAAGATACTATAGTGACGGTGTCAGTGGGTTTCGGTCGTAGGAATGCAAGATGCGAAACAGTTGAAGAAAGAAGCTAGAGAAAGAAAGAAACTTACATCTGAGGATCGAAAATGCTGGTAGGTGCCTCGACGATGCTGACGGTCTGGTCGTACACACCAACCTGGAAGATCTGGTTGGCAGAGTTGCTAACGACAGCAACAATCTGCAGGCGCACATCCTGGGGTAACATATCAAGTACGAAGGAGTAAGGAAGCGACTGCTTCTCGCCAGCGGGGATGGTGATGTCGTAACGGACGGTGGTTAAGTTACGAATAACGGAGGCTGTGGGATTGTCTTCGGGAGTCAGGGCCTTGGGACTGAGGAGCTGACCACCAAGGAAAGCAATCAATATGGGCTCATCCTCGTTGTTGGTCACATCTATCACAGCTTTGGTCGGGCGGCCATTGACAAGCTTCACTCCAAAGATGTCATCGGCTTCGGGGAAGGTAGCGACAACTTCGGCCTTCAACTCGACCTTAGGAGGACTGCCGGCATTGTCGGAAAGGGGCTTCAAAGTAAATCATGTTAGCAGCTAGCTTTCTTATAAATCGATAGATTAGAAAGCTGTTTAACTTACAGACTCGGCATCTGCGTCAGCAGCAGCAGCAGCGAACACAGAGACGACGCGAAGAGCCAGAGCGGCAAGGACAGAATAACGGAGGGCCACCATGTCGGGCAAGAAGACGAGGTAGAATTAGCCGGACGATCAAGAAGAAAAGAAAGGGTGGGATGAAGTTGTTGGAAGAGGAATTTGAGGGAAAGAAGCTCGGAGGAAGAAAGTTGCGAAGGAGCTTCAATTCATTAATTGAATCGGAGAAGGCGTAAGGCGTAGGTTAGCTGCTGCGCAACAGGGAAAATTGGTTGTGTGCAATCTGGTCAAATGCAATGTCCATTGAACGATGGGTCCCTGAATTTGGTTTTGGGCCAATGACGTGACGTTGCGTCAAGACGGGCTGGGCGGTCCTCCTCACCTCCCCCTGCACGTACCGACGCATTACCTCTTGCCAAATGTGGACGGGTGGCTGATGCTCCAAATTCTGGGGACTTGACGTGGCTGCGATTTCACTTAGTTGGCGCGTTGCAATATTAATACCTCTTGTGTATCGGCAACTACCTAACACAGTTTATAGGGAGAGGTAAGTTTAATTTTGAGTTTACCTAGTCTTGCTTCAGAGCACCTCTTTAAACTAACTAGAATTGATTTAGGCCTCCGAATCGGCTGCCTACCTCCTAATGTATACTTTTCTCGCATAATGCCAATGGCTTATCTTGCGAGTTCTATTTAACAACAGGTTGAAACGGTCATCACCTAGAAACTAAAAATTATTAGTTAGCTACAATGATACGCAAATACAATATCCTTCTAAACTCATTCACGTGTATTATTAAATGCTCGCACCGCAAGGTGTTTAAAATGCTGATTATAAGTATGAGTATACATATATCATCGTATGGAAGTACTTTATACTCTCCAGATTATGTAAATACATGTGCATCATAACTGCTTGAGTACGAAGGTCCGGGCCAAAAGTCTTGCACATCTGGTCTTGGCAAGCCATGTGTAAGTACATAGTCCAATGTTGCTCAGTCTCTTTCTCTCGACTCCCCCCCCCCCCCCCCCGGTGGTAGTGGATACCCGGATAAAACATGCATTAACTTTTCATAACTCTTAAAGCTTTACATTATACCCAATCCTCCCACCTCAACCCATCCCTCAAGCCCTCCCACGTCGGACCCTCAGCATCAGGTAAGAACCCATTAGCGCAGTACGCATACTCAACGTGAGCAGCACGAGCCTGCGCCTCGTATAAACTGTCATATTCCGGCTCTAGCGCGTCCGCGAGCGTCTGCACGCCGCCCTCGGGGTGTAATTCCGCCCACGGTCGTTGGCACGTTGAGCCTGCGCAGGTTTTGAGGACTAGTACCAGGGCGTCAAGGCGTGCGGCAACTTTATCTATAGGATATCCAGCTGCTGTGGCTGTTAAAGCGGTAGTATATTCTAAGGAGTCGAGAAGGTTATGGAGTTGGCCTGGGTCGACCTATATAGAGTTAGTTCAATGATATTTTCAATAAGACAATGATGATAACCGAGCACGTACATTTAGATCGTACAACTCGTGCTCGTTGTTGCACCAGACAGAATAGTATAAGTTATACCCCGGCCCTGAGACACGAAGAGCCTTGTAAGTATTATGCTCACGGAGATTTCCTAGATGAGAAGGCAGTGTTAGTTAGATCAGATTCCTCAAATGCATGACCACGTAAGTAAAGGGCAGCGATCTTAAACGAAAAGCAACTCTTTAACTTCTTTAACTCACGGTTATAAATCCCCTCACCCATCGCCATCCCCCAATACTCAATACCCGCATGCTCCCTCCTCTCCCCCCGTCCCTTAACCTCTTCAATCCCCTCCCTCGTCACCGGGATTGCCGCGCCGTCGAAATCGTCCCTCTGCTCAATCCCTAGCAACTCAAAAAATGTCGGCGCGAGATCCGCATGCGTAGTCACCACACCCTCAGCAGTGTAATTGGCCGCAATGCCCGGCCCCCGCACGATCAGTGGCACATTCACGTCCTCCTCGTATCCGCAGCTCTTGCCCGGTTGTAGTCGGTGCTGCCCGATGTGATACCCGTTGTCGCTGCTGTACACGAAGTACGTGTTGTCGAGGATGTTATGCGCGTCGAGCCGCTGGATGAGCCCGTCTACGAGTTCGTCGACGGCTTGGAGAGAGCGCAGACGCTGCCGGTAAAAGTGGTCGTTGTACTCTACGTTGGTGCTGTTTTGCTGCGGTAGCTGGGAGATCCAGTTTGCGCCGGAAGGCTATAAAAGTATGAGAGGTACGCAGCTAAGAATAAGGACAGGGATTATTAAGATATTAAGAAATCCTAGGTGCCACCGCCGAATAGGTTATACGTACTTCATCTGGATTAAAATTATCAGTCCGAGGAACCCTCTCATTTTTGAAAAGGTGCTTGTGCCGCTGAGCGGGTACCGGCTCGGTGAACTCGAAAGGTAGATTATCGAGATCGCGATGACTACCCGAAGCCGAAGCCGAATCCTTCATCACAACATTGGCATGAGGAGCAATCGGTGCGGCGACGAGGAAGAAAGGCTTTCCCGCATCAACAGCTTCATCTAGCAGTCCATACGCTTTCTCCGCTAACACATCAGTGCTATATTGTCCTTCATAACTACGCGGCTCTTCTCCGTTCCGCTGAAACGTGCTGTTTAGATAGTTATACGTATAGGGGTCGAGTAGGAAGTCCTAAGTCTAAGTTAGCTTTAAAACCGAACACCTAAACAAGAAGTACATAGGTAGGAGAGTGGGTGGTAATACCGAGCCCGTAAATCCTCCTGGGGCCGGTGAGTTGTAGTTTTCCACCGTATGCACATTGAACAACTTTCCCGTATAATATACATTATACCCAACCTCCTGTAGCCAGACCGGGAAATAGTTGTCATTGAAGCCTTGAGATACGAATTTAGGATACCCCCCGTACGGCGGTTTCACATCCGTAACATTCGTGTTATGCGCAAACTTCCCCGTCCACAGCGTGACCCTCGATGGACAGCACACAGCTGTTGTTGCGTAGTGGCTACCAAACCGCGTTCCCTGGTCTAATAGATGCTTCTTGACCAATGGCATATAATCTAGCGACGATAAGTGTACGTCCTGATCGTCTGTTAGAACAAACACGACATTAGGTTGAGATCGTGACGGCTGCGTCTCTGTCTCATGGCCGGGACCAAGCGGTTTTTGATCCGGACTTGAGTTTGGCGTAGCTCCAACCAAGCCGGAGCCGGTGGCGCATAACAAAACGGTTAGAGCAGTAGTCCACATTTCTAGCCTTGTATGTACGTTCAAGCGTCCCTTTACATGAGGCAATAATTCATTTCGGAAATAGAATTTCAGTTGAAGATTAGGATTGCAGAACTACGTGAGTTCTTATAGAGATAGTTACATTGTATTTCAATTGTATTTCACATAATGTCTAGAGTGTAGCTATGATGCTAGTTTAGGTAATCAATCGAATAACCTACCTCTTATCTCCAATGACCGCATTGCAGGGGTTGAATTGCGTGCTTGGGAATAGAGGCATTGACAAAAAGCATTAGGTAGGTATTTAAATATGCCAAGCGTAGCTCAACTCTATCATTACCTACCTACCTACTTATCATAGCTATTTCATGCTATATGGCCTTATCTTATAGCCAAAACTCACCCAACCGAGGAAGAGAGTTTTTCCTCCCACGTAAAACGCCTCGCTCACGCCTATGCTTAATCCAATAATAGAAAGGGTATTTATGGCACTACCTACTCAAGTTAAATCCCAGCTGTCAAGGAGATCAGCACCACCACTACCGCCTCCGAGACCGCTAAACATATCGTCGCTTGATCCGAAGTCGATTCCGCCATGGTGACTAGAGTCACCCGGACCGCCGAGATGGCCCATGTCGTGGCCACCGCTTCCGAGATCTAAATTCATGCTTCCGTCATTTGCCCCCAAGCTCTCATTTTGGGCGGCTGCGGCTAACGCATTTCCGAGCGCGTGCGCGTTCTCTCCCAGTCCTAAATTAGCCAGCTCGCCTTGCAGTATCGACTCGGCAGGCGGAGGCATGAGCATCTGCGCCTCGACTTTGCGGTACAGGCGAACGATGATCTCGGCCATGCCCGGATCCGACTTCTGAATGGTTTTGCAATCTTCCGCCTCTGCCCTCAAGGCCGCTTGAAGGGAAATTCGTAACTGTGGAGGTACGTAGGGTCGGTTTGCCGAGTCTAAATGAAGCACCGCTTCTGTTGGTGGCGGTAGATTGGTCACATCAGGAGCGCATATGAGGGCGGTGGCGATATCGTGGGCAATACTTCCGTTACCAGCCTCAGTCTGTACCTTGACTTCTTCTAGGACGATGTATAGAAATCGCTTTGCGCCAAGCATCCGTAAAGCAGTTAGAATCTGGCGATGCGTATATGAAGTTGGCACCACATTAAGGCCTGGATGAACGCTCCACGATACAAAGCTTTGCACCAAATGCCGAACAAGTGCGGCAAGCCCCCCATTCGCTGTACTACACCATGCATCGAGCTCGTTATTAGCAGCGCTGGCAGTTCGTCGCGAGAGGCGGATATTTTCTCTCATCGCTTTAAGCAGAGGCTCTATCGCCTGGTTTTTGGGTTCCCATCGCTGACATGATCGCAGCGAGTAATCCAGCGGTATCGCAATGATGTTTACAACGGAAGATAGCATCGTCTGGGCCTCAGTTGAGCCTTGTTTAGTTAAGAGGACCAGCTGCAAGATCCTAATAACCGCTTTGTGTTCCTGGCCATGGCTAAGCTCCACCCAGAGCAGATTAGACATGTATAGAATTGCCGGCACGAGGGATGGGAGTAGGAACGTATTCACTAAATCTAGGTCCGAATCAGCACGCAATCTAGGAGAGTTTGTTAATTTAAAACTTACATTCAACACCAGTCTTGAGGCTTTCTTCGTCAAGATGGCTTGTGCAATATGCGAGAACAATCTGGTGGAATAGTGTGGGGACAAGTAGATAGAAATCCTGTGGAGGACACGAAGATAACAGTTCGTCCGCCAGCCCACCTGATTCAGTATCGAAAAGGCCGCGTATCCAGCCATCCAAATGGCCGTTCTCTCGATCTGTTAACTCCTCTAGCGGCCTGTTGAGCTGGTGCACGCTGAGTAGTTTGGCTACGAACGAGTCTGATCGAATGCCGAGATCCATGGTCGAAAGATTATAGCGATGAACGAATGCCAATACCAAAAGAAGTACGGACCCGAATTCTTCATAAACGGGTTGATATTCCCCTTGGTCCTCTTCGTAGCGCCAGTGGTTATCCAGTAGCTCGCAGAGAGGATGTAACATAGTAATTGGCTTGCAGAACAGAAGCATTACATCTAGTAGCAGCGGCTTCTTAGCAAGTTGGCTACAGAGAAGCTTCAAGGTCATAGTTTCTTTGTTATTGCAAAGACGACCGATAACCTAGCGTTCTTCCCTTAGCACTCGAGTCTTAATGTTGGTATGGTTCGGGTGCTTACCTCTGCTAGAGCTTGACAAACTGCCCCGACGTTCCCGTCCATATTGTCCAGTTCGCCAATTAGTCGTTGAATCCTTTCCGGATCTCCCATGCATTCCTCGACTAATTGCTCCTTGACATACCGACCTGCCTGTGGTAGAGTTTGATACGTAATTTCGCCGAGTAAACCTTCAATACTTGACTCTGGAATTAACCCATGTAGACAACAAGCAAAACAGAAATCCTGACGAACGCTGTCGGTAAAGGTATTGCTGTTGTGTGTATCATCAAACATGGCAGACAGTGTTGGGAAAGCATTAGTGTCAACATGACTAAGTGCCTCGGTGATACAGAATTGAGCTGACAACGGAGGATACATGGACGTCGCCAACGTTGCTAAAAGCAAGGGTAATTTGTTGATCAAATAAGATCGAAGAAGGTAGCTCGCCTGGTGGCCTTCATTACGAAATACTGCGTTGGCGAGGACATCGAAAGAAGCTAGTATTAGATCAATTGTCGTGGACTGTATATCTCCCTACCTTATGTTAACATATTTCTTCGAACAGCGCGTTGAGCACGACACATACCTGATACCTATTATGCAGATAGTTGAAGAGAGCAGCGTCATCTATCAGGGGTCTCCCAACAAGCTAAACAAAATTAGTCCTTACTTCATAAAGGTGCATTTTCAGAATCCTACTGAGGCATTCAAGTAAATGTATAAGCCAGCTCGCGAGTTAACATTTGGCAGCTCAGGTACGACGAAATTGTCTAGAGCCATCGTCGACTCAATATCATCAAACCCAGAATTGGTGGTGCCCTTGTTCTTATCAGCCGGCTCGAAAGAGGCAAGAGTCTCGGTGCGGAATAGCTCGAGTCGACTGGCAATCTGCGATGCACTCTGGAGGATAGACGGAATAAAGCTTGCTAGGCTTTCGGATAGAGCCCTTCGCGCATCTATATAATGTCAGCCCGGTCAGATTCGTGTTAGGGACGAGAATTGCAAGGCGCAAACACGTACATTTTGCAAACGGACGGCTGAGAGCGTTTAGAAATGTTTGGCTCTCACAGATGGCTAAGAGAAGCATAACAAACGCGGCTCTAGCTGCTTCCATTTCATCCCTGGACTGTGGGCTATGCAATTGGCTCATGACATCGTGCGCAAATGCTGTCGAGGCCGAAGTGAATAATGTCATCCACTGGGCCATCAATTTGCATATTTGTAAGGCATCCCCAGAACTTCCGATACCAGACCCCATCGCGACGGCTTTCGTGAGGCGATAGAAAATAACCTCTTCAGCACCATAAGAATTACCCCATCTTAGATGTGTCTTATCCTCCGAATTCTCTAATGAGCCATTGCCGGCCTTCGAAGCTTGCGCATGTGATGTCGAATACTTGTATAACGCCTTGAGTATAGAAGGAGTGTCTATGAGCTTGTACTTGACTAGACCTTGGAAATACCGTGGGATGCGAGGGTCAAGGCTTTCGGGATTCGAAGGTTGAGGTTTCAAGAAAATGTCGGCGATGATAGCTGGAGGTAATGGATATCTCGAATGCATCATGGGAATATAAGACTCAAAAGTATCCACGTCAAGACGAGACGATAAGCATCTATTAAGGAACTTATCCCACTCCTCTCTCGGATTGACATGGTCTTGTATAGATCTATGTGTCAAGCTGTCCTCCGCCTTCGTCATATCCACATCCATCTCCATCTTCAAATACCGTGTTCAGGTCCTCGAATATCGGATGTTGATTGGTACATTGACGGTGCGTGGTTGATTGGTTTATGTTGGACTCCGTATTGCGTGTTTTTCCTTTATAACAGGTATCATATATTTTATGCGTTATGGTGTTATGTGTATGTTGTGTTTATATGTTGTAACTGTAGGTTTTGAATTCGCGAGGCTGAGCTCTCAGAAATGCGGCAGCGACAAATTGACGTCGGTGGTTATCTTAGCGCTACTACCTTGCCCACTATCGGTAGGTGCTCCGGCTAGGCTACCTAGGTACCTAGGTAGGTCCCTATCTAGTGGCTCTTGTTGCTAATCCGGCCTGGGATCCAGCCAAGGCCAAGGGCACAATTAGGGCTACAACGTGCTAGCTAGGATATGGAGCTTGGGCCACGCATGCTCTACAAAAGACCCGTCAATGGAATGGATGGCAAAAGCCCCCTTATCTTCATGCCGCAACAAGCGAGCCAAATATTAATAAAACGCCACATCCAATACTACGCATATAGGTATTGTAAACAGATTTCGAGTTCAACTTAATTATTATACCTACCGCCCCATTATATCCTACGCAAGACCTAAGATACATGTAGGTATCTACAAAGCTAATCAGTTCGAACCAATCCAGTCTTTTATAGAAAATCGCCCGCGTTTTCCCTTCCCTTCTATCCTGTGGATAAGTATAAGGCGCGTAGCGGTACACTCGAGTCGACCCATTATCCCGAGGGTGCTTAAAGGAAAACCCTCAGCTTGATGATCTCTAGTTAATCATCTCTGGTGCCGTGAAATGAAACCCTTACGCCTGCCTGATCCCTTCCCCCAGAGCAAACCGCATCCAGTCAACCCTTATATCCCGTCTATCCCGTCTAATATCCGGGCATCATGTATCTTGGTTGCCCACTGTCCTCCCAAGGTATGGAGAGACTACATTAGCGATACCCGCTTCGTGTCTCAGGCATCTTCGCTTTTCACAGCTGCCATCTCTCTATCGACATCAGGTGACCTAGGACCGACCATCCAGTCTTGCATTGCCAGCCATTCGCTCCAGTTTGCCTCTGCGCTAACAATCTCTTTCTCCGTGACGTTCTGTAGAGGACGCAGGAAAGGAATGGTCTGCTCATCCGGCATGTCGTATTGGGACTTAACCTTCAGCCAGCCGGCACTCTTAGCGGCGAAGAGGAAATTTCTCCGCTCCACTTCATGAAGGTGCCCTATCCCGGCAACCCAGTCGTCTCCAAAGAACCCATGCAACACACCCGGAAGATCTAAACCAGTTGCTACTAGCCGCCGGATGTATGGCGTCAAAGAGATAGATATTGGTGTACGATTTGGTATTGGAAGAATTGGCGACGGAGACGACACGCCCGCCGGCGATCCAGGCAACTGTGATGAGATAACAGGATGCTGCTGTTTTTGAAAAGGTAATTGTATATTTATGAATGCCGCAACGGCCTGTACCGGACCACTGTGCTGGGCGTGATCCAAAAAGTACCTGACACATGACTGAAATTGCGGGTACCACTCGAGAATGTCGAACTGTGATTCTCGAAACGGGATAAAGGGACCCGAAGGATCTATCCCAGCCGCCATCCCTCGTGATGAGGAAGCCTGCGGAGGTGACCGGGACTGGGACGAGTGAAACGGCATTGGGAATCCGGGAGGCCCACCTCCCTGAGGACGAAATGGCATGCCGTCAAGGTAACGTCGGTAGCTGTGCCTAGTAGATCTAAAAATCCGAGCTGCTGCCTCTCTGTAAAGGAACGAGTTCCGGGAGTGTCTAGTAACACCTAACTGAGGCTTTGAAAAGTCTAGATATAATACCTAGTTCGTGCAAGTGACGGAAAGGTAAGATGTGTAGGTAGTTTATCGAGTAGTAAGAAAGGAAGCGTACCAATCTAAAGCATCGCAGATGCTCCACATCGAATTGACCCGCGGTACGCCAATCAAGAGAGAGGAAGTTAACCGGACGATGGATTTCGATACTAGGTAAAGACGGCGGGCCGTTGAAGGTTTTAATACCACTTTGAAGACTTGTAGCTTGTCCTTGCCTTTTTCATCATCTTCGCCTACATAGACCAGTCCGCTTCGAGTCAAGGGGAAAGGGGAAGCTAGGCTGTAAGTCACTAGGTACCAAAATACCAAGGGAAATAAAGAAGAAATAAAAAAGAAATAAAAAAGAAATAAAACAGAAATAAAAAAGTAAAGTAAAAACAAATCAATGTGACTAGGTCACAAGAGAGGTCACAGTAACCGGCCCTCGGCAGCTGAACCATGAGAACTATACCAGAGGGTCCGCCACTCGCGGCATGTAAACTCGGTTTAACGACAGGATCTAGGTAGATGTAATCATTGTGGGGGGGCGATCACACTTGTGAGGCTTGGTGCTTGTACCGAACAGGGTTGAACTAGTAACAAGAAGGACGAAAAGAGGCATGGTCCGAGAATAGGAACATGTCAAAGCTGCAGAAGCATATATGTACCTAGTAGCAAGTATATTTGCCATGCCTTGCAATTGGATTCCGACCTGGCCGATGTCTGTAGGTCCGTATATATTTTTCAATCCTGTCGGTCCACTTCGATGGGAGCTGCCCAGAAGCAGTATAGGGCGGCTCTAATAGCGATGACGCAAGGAATTGACCTGTCGTCTTACAAAATTTTAGGGTTAGATTCGAATTGGGGGGTCTAGTTGGCGAGGAGCTTTAAGCGAAAATCAAAACATAAAATCAGAACTAGACCCGACTTACATGATAGCTCTCTCATCCAGCACAGTCAAATGCGCGCGGGCGAGCAAGGTAGAAGAGATGGACGATCTCTAAAGCTCGACGTCAGTTTGAATAAGCAGAGCAAGGTATATAAGGATTTGCGAAGCATCTAAGCAGCAGAAAATATGGGACCATGATGGCGATGATCTTGACGAATTGGTGAAGATGAGGCTGCAAGAGACATGCCATGCATATGTTCCTAATGAGGGGTCTGCAAGGTCCTGCGAAGCGTTCCTCAGGGCTTTTTCAAGGGGGTTCAAGTCCCAGATTTGCATAGAGGGTTGAAAGTCAGGGTCGCTGCAGCAAGTGTCATGTAGGTAAGTAGGAACCCCTGTCCTGCTTGGTCAAAGAAAGGAAGAGATCAGAGAGGAGCTAGAGCAAAAGTGAGCCAGTGGATAGAAAGCCTAGATTGAGTTTTTGCGGCGACGACGGGGACGGGACTAAGGGTTGCGCCGGCCCCACTTCCTGGGAACCCCACCAGCTAGGTACCTTAGGTAGGTACTTGTGCGAAAGAAAAACACCCCCTGAAATTGCCCTAAATGCCCTATGTTCAGGTGGGGGTGCAGGAACTTACCGCCATATATCCTCGTAACAGCGCACGTAATCTGGTATAATATAGTACACACTTTACCACACTTACCAACTTTAGTGCCGCTAATCCTCCCGTATAGTTACAACATTCCCACATTCCCACACCTATACTCCTTTGGTACACTTATACACCTTACCTAGGTTGGTAAATGGTGCATACATGTAGGTGCATCTACAGACAACGGAAGCTTCCAACTAAAAACCAAAGGTCATATGTGCATCTCCGACGACCGAACCACTTACATGCAACTTCTCGACTTCAACTAACAAGTGCACCTTTTTACATTAAGACCTTCAGGGGAAAAAACTGTTCTATTTCATCCGTATCGCGTCGTTATACCTTACCTAATATGCACAATAGTCGATTAATCGTTAAGACGATGTACATAGAATGCTTAAGATTTATTTTACCTAGTCTCTGATCTGGTAATCTGCTTTCCCTTCCGAGAATCTGTGCCTCTCGACACCCGGGGCTAGTTCTGAGACAGGGTCGTTACCCTGATGTGCATTCTATCATGTATGGGCTTTCGTTATTACCTGGGTAGCCTTAAGTTCTTTTTAATTGTACACACAATCTAACCCCTCGGAGGTAACCGAGTTATCATTTAATCCTACATCGAAGATCCGATGAAAGAGGGTCACGCGACAAATACGGAAGACATTAAGCGCCGGGAGTACAGTATAACGCCTCGATAATATATGACCTCCCGAATCATTCCAGGAAGTACCTGGAGCTCAAGCGGCTGAGGAGCGGCTTCAGTTACCCCATAAATTTGACTAACAAGGAACTCTTCCGTTAGGATATGTCCCCCTTGTAGGACTCTGGTATTCTCACCCTATACTGACCTATACAGGCTTTTCGGAAAAAGAAATTACAGGACGACTTAGGTAGCCAGTAACAAGTCAATGTTATTTTGGTTCAGCCCTTAGTTGTTCTAGTAGCAAATGGAATGTACTCCGGTCGGTCACGAACACGTTTGAAACAGTGCAAATCCAGAGCCGAGGGGTCAGGTCCTACGAAAGAAGGGACATTACCCAAAATCACCTAACCAAATATATCAAGTCCAGCTTCAACCTGGCCTAGCCACCATTATTGCCCCCTCTAAAAGCATCTTAAACAACAACAATAGAAATCGGCTATTAGTTTAGCCAACTAGTTAGGTATTTGGAATTGTAAACACTACAGCGATCCCAGAACTGTGGCGTCGGAATCGGTTTGTGTCCGTAAATAGGTAATATCTGTCAGGACCCACCAAGCCACAACGTCCGGAACACAGCATCTCCATCGTTCCGGAACGTTGCAGCACCGAATACCAAGCGGATGGGGCATCGGTGATACAGCGGCCATGCTGTGTGTCAACAGCAATAATGGAGCTAGCTTCCGACTACTGGATTAAAATCAGTGTGGACAATGGCCATGACCTTATTTGATACTTGACAAATAATTCTTTTCAATCAACCTGTGAACATCACCTACTAAGACTATTCGACCGGATGTGCCGTAGTGCTTAAGGCTTAGTCTTCACGCCAGCTGACAATGAGGCCAACTAGCACTCTTGATACGACCTAACCTTAGGTACTTACTTGTCTATCAACTAACTATACGTATGGACATCACAAGAAAATCGCCACCGCCGCATAAACTCATTACAGAGTTTTTACGGTACCAGTTTACAATCCCTATCACAATACTCCATGTGCTCTAGCCTGGTTACAACTCACCATAGCCATCCTCAGCTACTCGGGTGCTTTTAATATATAAAACTTTCAGCTATGGGCAAGAAATTAATCGAATATATAAAACTTTCAGCTATGGGCAAGAAATTAATCGAATACGTACTGATCTTCTCGCCTGGATCATGGTTTGACCATCGGCCCCTATGTATATGAGCTTCCAACTAATCTTTTTTAAGCACCTACCTTAGATCACAGTACAGCCAATGATCTCGTCCCTAAGCAGATATTCTTGTACAGCTTCAAAATTTCCGATCTGTAAGTGCTAAAGTGACTTGAATGATCGTTAAAACGGACCGCCACATGATGTAACAAAAGTGAATCCGTACCTGACAATCCGAACCTACGTACTACAGCTTGCTAGCAACAGAAAAAAACGTTCATAGTATTACGGCGCAAATCCAAGACATGGAGGAACGTACATTGCAGTGACGCGCCTCGAAATCAATTCTTCTAAGACCTAGGTGTGCTACTATTGGACGGGATATGCCCCGGCTCTCCGCATGAACGAGCGCAAACGTGAGCAAACAGCGAATTACGTAGCCCTGCAGGCTCGTGAATTCGGTAGACTATCTCGCTAGGCATCACATCCCTGTGAGGCTCGTGAGATCTGCTACTGGGGCTACCGGGGAGCTTCATTAAGGACGGTGCGCTTTGTTTCCTAATTTACGCTGAAAGGTTAGTCGGGGACGCGGGTGACACCTGCAAGGACCTCTGGCAGATACATATAAGACTAGAAATACCTAGGTACACTGGACCATTCTAGGGGTCTTCGTGTTCTTACGGAAATCATCATGCAGGGACCCCCCCCTCTCCGGGCTCATCGTTTCTCTTCTGATTGGGGCGATCCGCAGACAAAGCAGTTTGCAGGAGTATCGAGGCATAAATAGCATTAGGTACTTGGTACTGACGCCTCACTTTTCTCCGGGGGGAATGGGGGCAGGGGGTAGGTTGTGGCTCGTCTTCGAAATGACTGTCGGCTCAAGCCATGCGGCCCGAGTCCTTGGACCCGATCCCGTCCGTCCCAGACGTCTGGGTTCGATGCCGTAACTTGCTGCACCTGCTACCGCCCGTCGAGCTAATACGGATGTTGATCGGTCGACTGCGGCAAAATTACTTTAAAGGGAGGACGTCTAATTACCATCGGATTCCAAGAAAGTGAGGCAGCCTCAGGGGAACTACATATTAACGATATCATTCGCTTCTACGTGAAGCCTGTTCGTAGGCAAATTACTCACAATATAGTGGTTAACTAAACCGGCAATTCTGAAACATCTTACTTTTACCAGCTTCTAAATAACTACCGATTGGGTATAGGGAATTATCAGCATTCTCTAAGTGAACTTGCAGATATACATCAGCTCTCGTTACCAGAGGTACCCTGTATACCGTCAGATTACACACGTGCAGTAAGTAGCTTACAATGATTAATACAACACGGCATTATAGCAGATATTAATAGCTCTCTAGGTATCAAAGGGCAGCTATACAACTATCTAGTCTCGAAAGAGGTGCATCAAACCAACCTAAATCGAAGCTTTACTTAATAAGTTATACAAAGGAGAGACAATGATGGAATCAGTTCCTTCTTGTTTGAACATTGTTACTAGGTTTATTGAATTGACCAATTGGAGTTTGTCCTGTTACGTTACTGACAGGGGCAGCTTCGAGCTCCTATACCTTGGTACGTAATTTCATTTTCCTCCTCGGCCGAGACATCTTCCGTTAGCTGCCTACAATACGGAATAAATACTCAGTAAACTAGATCTCTACATAGAAAAGTGCTAGAACTCCCTTATTCGCGATCAGTACAACTTTGTGTCTGAGCTTCCACGCCTCGAACAGCTAGGTAAACGACACCTTGGGGCAAGGGGTTCCCGCGATCTGGTCAATTATGTACGTGTTCCCCGACGATCGCAGACGGGGGTCCAGCAAACACGTCCAGGGTCGTCGCCCATACAGACGCGTTCGAGGCACGCAAGCCCTACCATGATAATCCGTATGATGCACCCTGTTCGCTGCTGTCAACCGCCACAGCACGGGGGTCAACATGTTCTTTTCGGAGGAGGGGGAAGGCTACCCTAATAAGGCTATCGTAACTCCGACGACGGAAACAGGAACCCCCTAGACAGCCGGAGAGCGGTTCAATGCGCGCGCACGCGCACGTACATTACATTTCATTACAAGTAGCTGGACACTTACATCATCCCGTCGTATGGGGAATAGTCGTGGTAATATCCCGCCCTTCCCGCCCTGCATACGATACCCTTTCTGACTTCTACTTTGGATACCTTTACATGTGTGCGTACATGCATACGAGCCTACAACCGTTTAAACCCCGGCCGGCCCCAGTTAACGGGAAGTCCACGAGGTCGCGATGCCGTAACCCGCACTCCCCGGTTTGGGTACCCTGGCTACATACGATCTCCATCATACTTCTTTCGCAGCCTGCTTTTGCTGGATATTGGAGTGGGATGCGTGTGGCGTCCGCATATGCTGTGATACCACACCCCTAGCTCCGCGGCGCGGCTTACTTTTGGAGTTTTTCTCGTACGAGTTTTCTTTGTCTATATCCGCCGTACCTATGTAGTGCGCCAATAGCGGATTTTCCGCGCAAGGCTTACATAGGTTAGGTATCTCCTCGCGATCGCTGGTTCGACCTGCCAGGTACCTGGAACGGTTGCTGATCGACAACTATCGGTCGGTCAGAAATGACAAAGTAGACAGATCTGCGTAGTAGATGGGTACGGTTTCATTACTTCCGGAACGAAACCCATTGCATGAAGCTAAAAGAAGGGGAAGAAAAATACCTAGGTATGTGCGTAGACATGTCGATCCCCCCTTCACCACCCATCCTTCTTTGTAAGTGGTGAGGCTGGTGAGCTTACTTTTCGCCTCAGTGGGACCACGATGAGAGATGCAATGCGTAGCTACCTATCAAATATTTACATGTTTAGATAATTGCATTCATGGTCGATTGCATCCTGTCTCGGAATAATCGCCTCTATCGTATGAACAGGAACATCGTTCCCTGTTCTCATCCATGGTATGGCTGTGAAAAAGGTTTATCGGTATGTGTTAGGTGGTGATGCCACGCAATGAATGGCGAGAAACAAAAGTTCTACCTATCCAAGTCACGCCGTTGTTCTTCATTCGCTTTAGTATGAGTAGCCACGCTCGAAAATAAGCACACCCATAACTCATGCTCATCATAGAAAATCTTACGTCAAAGTAGTACATGATGCTTATTATCGGCCTAAGAGAGAATCTGGTTACGTATCGGTTCGGCTAGTCAAAAATATACGGGTGAATCATACGCCCATCACAACTCTGCCAGAGAAGAGGCTTCCTCGCCATAGTCCTCTCTTTAGGGGATACTGTCTTATATTGCCCTTGCGCACCTACATGGTAGATAGACTTGAGCTGTAGGTACGTGAAATACCGATTATTCATAAGTATTAAGTACCTAGATACCTATATGAGAAGAACATGGTAATTTATATAATCCCCAGAGAAGTCCGTATATTAGAGATGAGAAAGAATCCCGAGGCCTGTAAACATGTATTCGTTCCATAATGGTAACAAGAACGCAGGAACTCATGCTGGACTTCATCTAGAGATATGACGGTAATCCATCAGGCGTTTTCGAATTTATCATATCGGGAGCCACAGAGTAAAGGCTCAAGGATAGGGTATGATGGCGTGAGGGGCGGTTTTACGAAAATATGTTATCCCCTTAGGTGTGAGTAAACCATGGTATGCACTCCTTTGAACCTGACTGGCCCAAGCCGTTTATAATGTTACCTGAAGAATGTGCCAATTGTTCGTTGAGTCTTAATTCGTCGGTTTCAGTGGAGATTATAAGTGTCCCTAAGGCAACTAATGAAATAGATTTTGCTTAATCATAAGAAACTACCGTAGTCTCTTAGCTGAGGATTTATTGTTGATACCTACATCTATGTCATCAGTTCATAACTTTGAAATCAGTTGATTTTATTCTGAAGTTTGGTAGCGCTTTATATTTCCTGCTCTACCTGAATCTACCACTTGTCGGCAATCTAGTACCATACTAAACCAACCTTAATAGATGATTCTAATACAACTATTAACGGTAGCATCATATGAGACTTTTTCGAACTAAATATTCTGGCGAGAACGTCTACTACAATTTGGTTTAAATATAGCAGCTTTTAAATTTTATAAATATGGTCAAAAAGTTAGATCAATATTGGATTGGGTTGACTGCATCTTATCAAACTTTGGGCTTGAGTTTGTATAGTAGTCCATTGAACCACCACCCTAGATAAAGCCATTAAAAACAAGGGGCTGATAATTTACTTTTATATTCGCTTCTACAGTAGAAAGTTGCAAGGCGCTATAGATAGACACCTCATTATTTCATCGAGCTGCGCATGTGTTAGAGGTACATAACCTAGGGTATTTACAGGTACATACTCGGAAAACATACGAATAGGAACCAAAAAGGAATGACCTCAAAAATATAATTAAAAAAAAATCACCGTACCCCGGACTCGAACCGAGAATCTTCGGCTTATTGGCTTGTGCAATAGAAGGCCGACGAGTTAACCATTTCTCTAGTACGGCGTTACAACATGACCACTTGTGTGGAAGTTGCGGTTGCAGCTGCAGTTGCGGTTGCTGTTGCTGTTAGTGTTTATTAAAATAGCTTTTGTACCACTTGCCGTGGGAAACTAGAAAAGCCTGTATGAGGTAGAAATAGGTTTGAGGCTGTAAACAATACTTAGCAAACTACACCCGACAGGTTACAAGTCCAATGCAAAGTCAATGTATCTAATGTCCCTAACAGTCTCTATACTTGGATCATCTTTTTAGGTCTCTATTCAAATTTCCATATATTACCCTTAGCTAATTCAACTTAATTGAAATATACTTATCTCTATTTTATTTCGCTGATTATTTTCTCAGGAGAAATAAGACGTGCGTTTTCTATTCTCCTCAGAGGCAACCACACAATGCACAAGTGTGAGCCTGACGTCACACAAGCTATCTCCGAAAAAATACCGGCGCAGCTGCGCAACTAGAGGGTAATTACCAATTCCCACCTGCGATCGGGCACAACCTCAATTTGACCTTTTAAGTTTTGCTCCTATATCCAACTCCATATTTTATATAATTCTATTGTTATAATTTTTCCTTTATGCTAACTTAGCATTGTCTTTTTCTAGACAGCCTTGTGGATGATCTTATACATTTGCTACAATGGGGCTATCAAGAACCAGAAGCAAAAGTTTCAGTACCGGGACAACCGTTTTCCAAACAGGCTCGGAGTTTGCTGGTGATGGAATCACAACCCCAAAATATGAAGATAAATTACTCGAGTTGGATGGTGAGCAAATATGTTACGGTCCGTGGGATGACTGTAACCTGTTTGCTCGTTTGACGAATAACAACATCAACCGCGAACATATTATGGAAGAATATGTTAATTATCTAACTAGCTTGTTTGAAAAACTCCCCGGAGCATATAAGGTACTTCCCATACCCAATTCCCCTATTTAACTTCAGGGTAGTCTGACCCCCAACTTAGCCCCCCAGTCGCCCAACAGAACTGCGATTATCAGCGTACGAAAATGAATACGAAACTAAGTGTTCATCACCATGTCCCAGTTTAACGGATGATTCAACACTTTCAAGGACTTCTTCGTACGCTTATAATGTACTGTGTATTTATATTGCCACGCTAACTTCACATCTTCAGGCTTGCTAGGTGTCAGAGGAGTCCACCTCGCTATTCGCCTGTCAGGCGGGGATCACTGCTCCCATTAACATCAGACCTATCTCTTATACGTAAGAGGACTAAGGGCTATACAAATTTCAAAGACTTACGAGCAATCCCCTCTCAACTACCACATGCAGGCCCCAAATACTCTCTAAACTGGAAGTCTGGGTTTGAGAAATGGTCTAATTACTCCAACCAGCCAAGACGTGTTGCGGTTAAGATGTTGGCTCCTCCCAAAGTCAGAGACAACATCCAAACACGGTTTCATGAAATGAGCGATTCTGATTCCCTTGATTCCGAAACTTCAACAGACATATCGTCCGACGACGACGAATATGATCCATTTGAAAATTTAAACAACGCCATAAGACGGGTCTTTTCGTCCAATAAGCAACTGGCAGACAGAGTGATCAACTATTTGGTACAACTTCCACTAGATCGCCGAGCACGGGTTTACGGGTATGGGGCCATCTCATCGCACGGCGCCGACAGCTTTCAGGAATCAAGTATCATAGTTAGCTGCGGAGGCAATTCGAGGCCTACAAAGAGAAAGCGTATCGACGGAGCGCTCCCAAGTAATTTAAACCAGGACCAGACTCTCGGAAGCGATGATCATGACGACCGAGTCCTCGTCGACTGCCATCCTCCAGAAAGATCGTCACCTCACAGAAGGTTTGCCTGCGGGTACAATATCTTCGACAGAGTAACATTTAGCCCAAGAAATACCAGAGGGAGGACCGCGACACGGTATAAATCGTGTGCTGGTCCTGGATTCTCATCTCTTAACCATTATAAGTCCGTCTACATAACTATGTGTACCTAAATACCTAATATAAGCTGACTTGAAAAAAGGCGACACTTAGAACGTGTCCATACCTTGCACCAATGCCCCCGATGTGGGCATATTTTCGACATGCCCGGGGACTTACAAAATCATTTGGCCCAGGATCCGAGATGTGACCGACTGACATTCGAACAAGAACGCGGTATGTCTCAAGCTACATGGGATAGGGTTAAGGATATTTTTAAGAGAAGACGCAAATCCCAGGGTGAGCCTTCTGATGAAGAACGATGGTTCCTTGCCTGGGATGCTCTCTTTCCTGAGGCGCAAAGGCCTCCGACAGCATGTGAGTCGTACCTAGGCAGCATTGAGCTTTTCGCCAGGACTCATTGAAGACAACCTCCGAAGTAATGTCTACCTGTTATGCTGACTATGCAAGCATATAGACTATGAAGAACCACAGATACAGGATGCCTACCAGTCCAGGGTTTTGGAAGTCTTTGATTTTCTCTTAGCCGACCGACCTCAACTAGCTCCAACCCGTAACCATAGGGATGATCTTATGGAGGCATTAAGACACGCTCTTAATGTTGCTGGCCAAGGAACACGATTAAATCAGGAACTTGGCGAACCCATTATGACCTCACCATCAGTACAAGGGCCTTTACCAAACACTAGTGCACAGGACCAGATGCCCGATATAAACCAGACAAACATCTTAGAACCTCATGGGCCTGAAACAACCAATGCGTATATAGATGTGTCGAGTCACTTTGAGGAGCCGAGGTATCAAGATAGTGAACCAATAGATAATTTAGATCTATTTGGTGTATCTGGCTCAACCTACCCCGACATGGGTGTCACCGGCGATGGTAAGTGTTTATGATGTCTACAGCACCACGCTACTAGCCAAGGAAGATTCTAACAATTCTCGTAGACTATCTCGATGATGGATTGTATTTGGACCTTCCGGAATATGGAAATTGGTAACTAGACTCTTGCCTTCAAACGGTAACAGATAGATATGTGAGACTAAAAGATCACTCAAGAGGATTTAAATTGAGACTGACCTTGGAGATCGTATTTGTAAGGAATGACATTATTTTCCACTTTGACAAGCCCTTAGCTTTGTGTAGTACTTTTTCATCCGGAACGAACACAGTATATCTTGTTTTGAGGTTCCAGATCATTGGGTTGCTCGAGTCTTGCGAACAAATCCTCAACGTGGCAAACAAGTTGCACTAGTATATACATTTCACATGTCCCCGGCGTAACGTGCTACTACTCTTAGGATCGAGATCGATCGATATAACGTAGAGCTATGGATATTAGAGACTCCTTAAGATCCTCTCTGAGGCTGAGGCGACGAAGATCATAAGGCGCAATGATTAAGATGTATGCTTCACCGACTTTAAAGGAATAGACTTGACATGTTTAAAATAGATAGAAAACTATGCCTTCTATATTGAGGCTTCCATCATATGACAGTTCTAAGGACTAACCCGTCCTAAGTCCTCCGGGAAGAACGGATGTGAACCGCAATGGATCCTCAGCTATTTATACTACTACGGGTAATGCGCATTGATACCTCTAATGGACGTGTTCAACACGAAGGCTTACAGTACTAACCTCATCCTATACGCTGTTGCTTTGATTATGGAAATATCAATGACTTCTAGAACAGTATTCTATTTTAAGAGCAAGGGCATCATATCGTGATCCTGTCACTGGCCAATCTCAACTTCGCTCCTATCAACCACGCGTTTTAAATACAATCCAGCGATTCATTCCATACGAGTATTCCTACGCTCATAACTAATGACTTGCACCGCCGACCTTTATGTACGACAACTAGTGATGGAAGCGGTGTGATTAGCTGTTGAGCTGGTTAGAGGCTTGGCTCTTACGTCTTATTCCATGTTGATCCTTGGTCCGATAGTTTATGGTGCGAAGAGATGCGCTAATGACTAGTCAAACGCGACAGATATGTATTATGAAACTTGAGTAACGTTCATTAGTGAAGTATTCGAGGAGACATGGTTGATTTATTATGACAGGTGCCAAGCGGGTTGTCATTCAAGAACCTCTCACCTGTTGACACCTGTCCCTTTTGTTTTATAAGTTGGCAGCTGGCCGTTGACATCCGGTAAAAGCTGACACATGGCAATTCGGTCCCGACGGCATGGACCTCCTAAATTTATTCCAAACGCCCAATTCTTAGGGAATGATTGTTGGCAGATTGTGCTTTTTTGATCCTTCAATTTGCGGGGTTGACATAAGTCCTTTTCTAGTAGAATTTCACGCAACTCACCGACCGCGTGGCGTTTATTCGTTATGCAAACGATGGATATTCCTACCTGGTCATAATCACCAGCCTTGATCTGATCTGGTAGTTTGGCTGCAAGCCGCTTTCCGGCTGAATGCTACCTTTGGTTCGACGCCGCCAGCCGTCAAGCTAAGACACGGAAAATCTCTATCCTGTCCTACTATGTATTCCTCTTCTGACGACTTTGCTTATCTCAAGGAAGATGCGGAGATGCTTGTTTATAGCATCTCCTAAGACATTGAGTACAACACTCAAGTACTCTTATAATATGGGATGAATGACGCAAAATAGTCCCCTCTATCAAATATTCTTCTCAAGTCCCCGGCGATACTGCACGCGGCCGATTGGCCTATTCGACTGAATCGGTGACTAGATGGTTGGTTGGTCATATATATACCTATGTGATATTGGCTTGCTTACTTGCTTTTCTATGTACTGCCCCAATCTTACGTTGCACCGGTCACCCCCAGGGTCTCATCCAGTAATCCCAAGGTCTCATCAGCCATCTACGGGGGTGGGGATTTCGTCTCAGCTGAAGCCTTACTGGGCAGTTAGATAGCCGGTCCCGGTATGTAAGTCGCCGCACGTTGCACGTTAAAAGCGGCTCGTCCGCACCCCCCCTTTACAGTAGCTCTGGGATTTGTTTCTGACCTTTTTTTGCCTCTTGAATGGGCAAACCTGTACCAACATGAAATCCGCCCTCAGGCTGGCCACCTTGAGTTATGCGATCACCAATGTTGATGCTAGCTTACTATTTCCCTCTGGTCGTAATGCGGGGAATTGGGGTCCGGCTAAAGACGTTGTTGCCGCCTCTCCAATAGATCCTGTAGGATGGGCACCGAAACCGACTGCGCCGCCGGCGGCCGAGCCGTTCGATTTTGAGCTGAGGAGGAGGCAGGATGAGACTACCACCACAATTATTGCTAGTGTTGCTACGTGCGGGTGGCCGGCCGATAATATTAGCGGTAGGTGATGATTTAGATCATGAATTACTTAATAAAACTACGAAAAGCTCCCGTCTTAACTCTTAGTAGCGCCGGCGATTACGTGCGGTGGGGGAGGTTACTGTTACGAGGCACCGGCATCTTTCGCAGCAGGATGTTGTACCGAGACCAATCGTCGTAATTGCAGAATACCGACGACATGCTTGGAATCAACAAGATTAGGATCTTCTTTAACTGATACTGCTAGGACGCTACTCTGGTGAGCTTAAGACTCATCCATCCTCTCCTAATTCTCATTAACCAAGTCCGGGAAAGTGATGAACCAGCACAACCCCATTGTGTGACTTATTTATACAACGCCAATTTCTTCGAAAATTTCAATGGAGTTAGTTTTCTAGCATGCGGTAAGGAAGCAGGGTCTAGTATAATCGCAACCAGTGCGCCGCCGAACTGGGTACCACCGAGCGATATCACAACCGCTTCTCAATCTACGTCCGATCGATCTCGAACGGGTACCGATCCTACCAATGTTGTAACTGTCACCGTTTCCCCGAGCTCCAGTCCATCATCTCCAGACGCAGTAGTCACACATCAGAGTAGTAACGGGTCGAGTAGAACCGGAGCTATTGCTGGCGGAGTTGTTGGCGGGGTTGCTGTACTCTCGCTGATAGCTGCTGCTATCTTCTTCTGTCTACGCCGACGCCAGCGTAAGAAGAATGAGGCGGAAGGCAAGGAGATAGAAGGCTCGCCTCCGTTTCGACCACGAGATTTCCCACGTAATAGTGTATATGGTGGAGGATTACCCGAACCTCAATACCAATCAGACTTCTACGGGGAATTACCGCCGCAGATGGCACAAGCATCGACCCAACACGTTGTAGGCTACCCGCCACCTACTCACTTTGAACCAGTTGCCATGCCTAGGGATAATAGGGACCATAGGAATCATAGAGATCATAGGGACCAAAGGCATTCTCAAGTGCAGGCAATTCCGTCTACCTTTGTCCCGGGGCCACGCAAGCCGAGCGAAGATGATATAGTATCGCCCATTACTCCTGGTGACCAATTGAACCCTGCCGACGACCCAGCAACGTACACATGGATCTCAAACCCGACACCACCTCCACAATCAGACTACTCTCAGTTCAGCCCACCTCCACCAGCACATTTTCAATCGTACCGACCATATCCCGGAACATAAAGAGGGCTATCGGCCGTAAGACGAAAATACAGCTATGGTGGCCGAACTTGTCGCTCATTTAAAATACATAAAGTTTTTAATATTACATATACGTACGTACTGGGTGCGACGTTTTCTTGGATACCGGCGTCTTGCAGGTGCGTAATGCATCTCGTAAGACGTAAGATACCTATGGCTTTTTCTAATGGGACATAATGAAGAGGTGAAAACAGGATCTGACTTAGAATATTACTCGGGTGGCACTGGACGGGATGGAGGTGATCTAAAAATATCTATATGGCACTAGGTACGTTGATATGTTGACGAATTAACGAGTAATATTGAATGTATCTACGATTATTAAATCCTAGTCTAATTAGGGCTTGGTTAGGTTAAGCTTGGATTGATCGAGTTCTACATATAGTATTGTATACTATTTGTATTCACTATACGGATCAATATTCAAGATTGTCGAATTGTACCGAGAGCATTAGAATGCCTAGGTGAGTATAGTCCGTTATCGACTATTTTAGACGATATATTATCCAGAGTGTTAATATAGTACACGCTTAGACTAAACCCCAAATAACTACCCAGCCCAGCATAATTATACCACCAGGTTTGTTAATATAACTCTTATGATTAGGTGGATCTCGTACTCACCCGCGGCAGAGCAAGAATGGATATCGTGGGGTACCCCAGACCCGGTCGTTTCGGGAAGACATGTGGGGAAGTTGGCGGTGCTAGCATAGCTTCTCCACGCCTCGGTTATCATTCCGCCGACTAGGGAAGAGCATTAAATAAGGAGGTATGCCGTTGATTGGAAAGCATATTAACTGCTGAAACTCTCTGCGAATCTTTGTCTCAGAGTAATACACGCGAGGCGTACAGACTAATACATACTTATCTTGTAGGACTAGGTGACTTGCATATAAGCGGAGAAACAAGACAAAGCCAAACTTGGAGAAGAACCCGAATCCGAATAGGTCCCCGCAACACCCTAATATATCCTATATCCCCCTATTTATATATCCCCCTATTTGAACCCCAGGGAGTAGGCACAGGAAATGGGTGGTGGACAAATCCAGACTGGGAAGGCAATGCGGTCAGTAAGCGTGGAGGAGATATCACGGCATCACTCGCTGGAGGATCTCTGGGTTGTCATTGATGATGTAGTCTACGATCTCAGCGAATTTGCGTTAGAACATCCCGGTGGTGTCGCAGTACTCTTGGACCACGCCGGACAAGACGCAACCACCGCTTACTCCGAGGTCCATTCACCATCGTTGATCAAGACCTCGTTGCCAGCATCATCTCGCATTGGTGTCCTGGATCAAGCTACTATTACTGAGCAATGGGCTAAACCACCACCACGGGCCCGCGGCCCACCACAAAAGACACCAGAGAAGCCACCTCTGGATAGCATAATTAACGCTAGGGATTTCGAGGTCGCAGCTGAGGCTAGCTTCACCCCTAAAGCATGGGCTTTTGTGTCGTCGGCCGCAACAGACTGTCTGACGAAAGAGCGCAATGCATCAACGTATAGGGATATAGTACTGCGACCACGGGTACTGAGGAATGTTAGAGATGTCGATATAAGTACGACTATTCTAGGAAATCGCGTTACTGCTCCTATATTCTGCGCCCCAACGTCTATGGGCCGTATCTTCCACCCACAAGGAGAGCGCGAACTAGGTCGGGGATGTCAGCGCTTAGGTATTCCGCAGTGCGTATCGACGAGTTGCTCATTCCCGTTACCCGAGGTTATGGATGCGGTTGAGGAGGAATCTCTATCTCAGGGAGTAGAGACCAATGGATCCGTTCCAGTCTTCTTCCAACTATATGTTGATAAAGACCGCCGGAAATCAGAAGCTTTATTACGCATGGTACGCGAGCGCGGTGTTAAGGGTATCTTTCTGACGGTTGACGCACCGGTTATTGGAAAAAGAGAGGCAGATGAGCGAGTTAAATCAGATGAGAACTTACGAGCTCCGATGTCTGGCGCGCAGGCTAGGAATGATGCCAAAGGAGGGGCATTAGGAAGACTGATGGGTGGCTTCATAGATGCATCACTTACGTGGGACGATGTGTCGTGGGTGCGGCAGCACGCTCCTGGCCTACCAATCGCACTGAAAGGGATCCAGACAGCGGCGGATGCAGTGAAGGCTATGGAAGCAGGTGTTGATGCTATATATATCTCTAACCATGGTGGGCGGAGCTTAGACACATCGCCTGCTACGATACTAGTGCTGCTTGAGATTCAGAAGTGTTGCCCGCAGGTCTTTGATAAGATGGAAGTATATGTCGACGGTGGCATAACCAGGGGTACGGATATCTTCAAGGCTTTGTGTCTAGGTGCGAAGGCTGTTGGGATTGGGCGGGGGTTCCTATTCTCGCTGAATTATGGGAAGGGGGGTATCGAGAAGTTCGTTAGTAGTAAGTTTAAACCCCCTTTATATATATCCACTACTTCCCGAAGTGCTTTATAGTGGGGTAAGAGGCTTGTGCTAATACTATACGCACGTAGTTCTTGTCGATGAACTGGTGACGACTATGCAGATGTGCGGCATCACTAGTCTCGACCAAGTTCATCCTGGGTTACTACATACAGGGGCTGTTGACCACCTTGTTCCTGGGTCTGAAGAGCATCCGTATGCCAGGTGGAAGCCAAAGTTACGAAGGAGCAAACTATAAAATAGAAATCAATATTATATATGACTTACGTACCTCATGTACCTTATTTGGGTCGGTATCTGTATACTAAAGAAACACATAACACACATAGAAAAATCTAACAAGGTTGTCACCCAGATACCTGTAACTATGCTTACTCACTCAGTTACGACAAAGGTACATTCGCACATCATACGTTTCCCAGAGCATTGAACTTGTTAACAGTCAGTGTTGTCACAATCATACATGACGTCCCTAGCAACTGACGGCGCTACAGCCAGACAAACCCTACTCACTATACGACGCACACTCATTTTCTGTCAAACGCACCTACGAAGAAGGTAGCTTCCATGACAACAAACATTGTCATTAGACTATTTAAGGGTACGTACTCCTTCTCGAACTGCTGTACCTTGTGTCATTGGGAAGGTTGCGAGCTGAAGGTTGGAAGTTGGACGGTACGTAAACACTTGCCTCCCTAAGTACTCTCTCCCCTACCCGCCCTTTTTGAAATATATATAAAGATATGCCTTCCCTGTCTACTTGAGATCTTTCGAGTTGCTTTCTTTCTTCATCACACAAGAATCTAGCCTTCTTTGCTCTTCTTAACTACTATATTGCCATCACCCTTAACCATCAACCACTTTTCTTGTCTTCACATACTACACATCATACACGACTATTCACAATGGTAAAGTTTAGAGGAGACCTGAAAAGCTGGCGTGCCTATAATCGCCTAGGGGCTCTCTTTGGAATACCACAACTCTATGATCGTGAGGGCAATCGTCTGGATAGCTATACAACAGACCTTCCTTCTAAGGAAGACGTCGAAGCAGCAAGGGCTAAGCTAAAGCAAGAGAAAAAGCAGACTAAGGAGCATCAAAGCACCCTCCCAGAGTTACATATTGAAGGGGACTTCCACAATAAGTCAGTCCATGTCTTCGATAGTCATCAGGGTAATACCATCCGTATCCGATCAGGACCCAGTGGTGCTAGCGGGGTATCAGTTCATACAGAAAAGGTTGTTGTAAAGCACACCTCAACCAAGGAACATATACCTCACAAGCATATGCCGCTTAGGAAACACGTTTCAAGCAAGCAAACTTCAGGTAAGAATACAAAATAGTTGATGTTGTTTCTTCTAAGATCGAGGCTAATTTCACTCATGTAGAATCTGATACGGATGATGAAGGCTCGGATCTCGAAGAGGTCATTCATACAAAGCACGCTCAAAGCTATAAGTCTTCATCTAAGAGACACATTGCAGCTAAGCATATCCCAGGTAAGAAATCATAAGGAACCTGAATTCGCACCTTTTCTATTGAAAGTGAGGCTAATTCCATTCAAGTAGAATCCGACTCGGAGGAAAGTTCGGACCCTGAAGAGGTTGCTGCCAAGAAAAAGCATATTCATACCAAGCACGCCCCGGGCAAAGAGCGGAAGAAGGCAAAGAAAGTCCTACCTCTTTCCGACGAAGATTCGGATACTCTAGTAGAGTCTGAAACAGACGATGAAAGTTCTGAGTCTGAAGAAGTCGCTGCTCCGAAGTGCACCAAAAACAAACATCACACTTCAAACAAGCACGCCCCGATCCGGAAGACTAAGAGAACAGCTAAGCCCGCCCCTCCCTCTGAAAGCGAGTCAGACTCTTCTCAAGAAGAATCCGATACAGAAGGGGAGGAAGGATCTGAGTCAGAGGAGGTCGTTGCCCCTCAATCCTCTCGCAACAAGAAGAAAGCTCCAGCCAAGCATACTTCAAGCAAGAAGAAGGCCTCTACTAAAAAGACAAGGAGGGTAGCCAAACCTGTGTCCCCTCCCTCAAGCGAGTCCGATTCAACTGAAGAAGAATCCGAAGAATCAGAGGAGGAATCAGAAGAGGATAGTTCCGAAGATGAAGAGGTCACTGCTGGAAAGGAGCCCAGGAGGGACTTGGAAACCATCCAAATGGATGGTTATAGGGACGATGATTGGTCCGTCTACGAAGATGGCATGATCTGCTTCATGAAAGCAAAAGGTAACTCGTAAGTGTCACCCCTTTACCCCTTATCAAGCATCGACTAATCAATACACCACAGCTCACGGAAGATAGCCCAAGAGCTTGAGCGAGAAGTATCAGAGGTCCAAATACGCATACAGGAGATCATGGAACTAGCCGAGGAAGGCGGACTCACAATCGAGCGCCTTGGTGAGATCTACACCCAGGATGTGAAGAAGAACATGAAAAAGAGAAAAGAAGATGCCAAGCCAAAACATCAAGCCTATGCGGAGACTGTCATTGATAACTCCGATGAAGAGCCCAAGACAAAGGGTAAAGGCAAGGAAAAGGCGAAGGTTGACGACACTAATTCCAACCATGGCAAGGGGCCTAGCTCTGTTCATTCTTCCTCCTCCTCTGAGTCCCTCCTTTCCTACGGAACCTTTCCACCGATCGTCGTGCCAGCACGCGAACGCCTCGATATGATGCACACATTATCGCGTCTATATCCCAATCAAAAAGTCTTCTATCCGGACAGCAACTTCAGCGTCCAGGACTGCCATGCCCTCGCCATTGCCGAGGCGCGGTACCGTGGCCAACAGTACGCCTACATTCAGAGTGGGTTCGCCAACCTCACGGGGCGGTACTTGGATACCGAGGTGCTGAAGGCCAAGCTTGCTCAGGGTATAAACCCTTACGATCAGACTTACGTAAACTGGGGTGGATACCGGCAGTATTAGAGAATGGGGTGCTTTGGGGAGGAAAGATAACTGGAGATTTCATCGGTGGATGGTGGCCTTGCTGGGGGGGATATTGCACGAGGGGTTCAAGAGGTTCCATAGAGGATTTTGGTACGCAGGGCGGACTTTGGCTTTCCAGTTCAGAAGGATATGAACAAATTTTATTCCTCGAGTGTACGAGCACAAGAAATGCTCCTCGACAGGCCTGAGTGGTGGGGTAGGAAAAGAGGCCTTGGTTGAGTTATGGTTGGGTTGGGCTCACTCGGGCAAATAACAACTTAGTACACATATTATATTACACTTACTTGCTTACCTTTGCGAGTATGATAATATAAATCCTCGTTTGATTTCCCTAATAACATAGCTTGATCTAGTGCTATTTTATCCAAAATATCACCTACCTCTATATGTGGGCACAGATCTCCTTGAATGATCATTGATTCCCTAAGATAAGCCTGAGAATTCTAGGCTGACTTTAACAATAAATTCTTGTAATCAAAAACGAGGTATCTACGATTAAAAAGAAGGACGACGGACGAAAACGAAAGTAGGAAAAAACGCAGGTAAAAAATAAGGGGAAAAAAGAAAAAACATTAAAGCGTTGAATTTAAAAATTAAGGGCGAAAAATGCAAAAAAGCTCAGCCCCGGCTTCGAATCCCCTCGGATAGGGGCAGGGGATTCGAACCCAAGACCTACGAAAAACCGGCTTCGTTTGGCATCTGCTGTCAAGTCACATTCGTAAGAATGGTCCAGCATAAGACACCACAGTGGGGTTTTCTCTGACCTCAAGTCGCCCGGGCGGGGGGCGTCGGCTGACAGTTGGTTTGCAATTAGGATATATAACCTTAACGTCAGGTGGAAAGGTACTTGGGGGGATGTACCTGGTTATCTCGTTGCCTGGGTTTCTGAATAGCTGCAGGTTGACAGGTGTCTACGTTACGATAAGACTTGCTTGCACTGGCCCCTCTATTTACTGTCAGAGTGCTACTAGCTTGGGGTTCTTCGTGCATTGGATAGAATTACTGAAATTAAGTATGGAATATGGTAGTGTTACCTGGGCTATATCCTCCTGCCCAACCTACGAAGCTTCAAACTAGCTAAAGTGAAGGGTGCACAAGTGGTATTTAAGGTATCACACCTAGCTCAAAAGGCTAGGTACCCATGTACAAAGAATGCTACTTGAGTAAGCATTCAGACCAAACAATATTTTGCCTAGGGGAGATGAAATGAGACAGCATAGAATACAGTATGAGGGCTTTGTACGGCTTCAAGTCCCAGTAAATATATCCAAGACTTAAGATCAAATCGAGAATGTCTAAGTAAACGTATCAGATCTAGAACTCAAGGTTACCTATTTTAAAAAAAAAAAAAAGACTAAACAATAACACTTATTATGGGAGCTTCTATCCAAGCCGGCCTATTCAAGGATATCGTACCATACACAATCGAGTTGGACTGTTGGCTTAGGAATTGTAGCTGATTTACCAAAGTTTCATATGTATACCTATTAGAGGAGGCTATAATAGTAGTTAATCCTATCTTGAAAGAAGTATACAATGTGAGTCGCGTGCTATAGTAACTTAGGCTTCGCATGATTCATGGAGAAAAGTAGCCTTTAACAATACCCTAAAGATTATTACTATCTAGAAGGTATACTCGATAAATATTCTTTGCTATATAACTAGAAAGAACTAGATAACATCTATTGTAACGAAACTAAACCAAGCTAAAAAAATTTCCCTTGCCCTTTTATTCGGCATACCACTTAAACTATAAGTTATGATCTTATAATTAGGTATTTTGATCTACGTGATTATTAATATTCCAACATGAAATAAACCACAATATAAAAAGTCACTATGGGACATTATTGCGCGGATATATAACTAGATGTATAAACATACGCTGTGTACCTAGGTATATAGGTAGGTATATGCTATATAGGTAGTAGGCGTGAAGTATATATAGATATGCACACTTATAATTAACATGCCGTTAATGTTTATTCATTCGGAGGAGAGAGAGCCATATGCCCAACATCATGACCGACATCACAAATCCCCTTTCTATCCGCTCGGCTACCCAGCGAGCCCCTCTAAGGACCAGGACCAGTGTCTATGCCTACGCCCATGGTATCTCGATGACCCCCTATTTTTTATGTTTCGTGTGCGTGCCGTGTGAAAAAACGCCCACCCTTTCCCCGTCCAATTCTATTTACCAATAATGGTTGCAAATAGATTAAAACGCCCGTTCCTCTAGTAAACCCTGGGTTATATGTGCGTATGCGCCACGCGTAGACCTTAACCAGCCAGGTCGCCCTCCTATATCCACGATGCAGTCATGCCTCGTCCGAACCTAGTAATCCGTGTCGCCAATCGTAAAGTAATGATATTTAAAGTAATGATATTTTTTTAAGAATTGAAATTATAAATATTAGTCGACACTTTATATGCTTCAGCAGTGAGCGCAAGAGATAGTGGGTTTGCCGCGAAGAGTGGAAGGTCCCTTACGCCTCCGACTTCCTAGTGCAGGCATCCCGTCCCCGGGTTGAGAATCATCCCCTGTCTCGAACCGCTCATTGCCGACCATGATGACCTTGATAACGTTGCTGAGCCCTATAGCTAAGCAAGAACGACCAACTCGAACCATTGGCCCAAGATTCGTGACGAATAGATGACCGTCATCTTCGACCTTTGAACATAGTGGAAGAGCCTCCCATGTCTCCTGTTTTCCAAAATGGGAAAACATCCATACTTCCCAGTTGTCTTGGGAAATATGGCCGTTTGCAGGTTTAACGGTGTGGTGACGGCGTCGGAGGCCGCTGAGCTGTTGAAGGGGCTGACGGTCAAGATGACCGTCTGATCGAGATTTCTCTCCATTTTTCCTCCTAACTCCGACTATGATCCCAGAGGGCAAAGCATCCCAGAGTCCGGGATTCTTAATAACCCGTCTCGATTCTTTGGCTCTTTGCCATGGACAGCACGTTTTCCTGGTAGGAGAAGCCGGGTCGCAGAAACACAGGGACTCTCCTTCGTGCTGCGGACTATAGGTTTGTACTACTAGGTCTCGCGTATATGTATTGAGATATGCCAATGTAAGGCTCCATAAGGCAAGGGAACCACATCGCATCCGCCGTGGCCTCGAATGGAAGCATTTCAAGCTTTTCGGTTGGATTGGATCCACCTTGAAAGTATAGATTGCCCTGAGCGTCTGCGCATCTACTAAGTCCACAGTCCGGGACCGAACAATGAGGAAGAAGCCCAACTCCGGCAAGGCTTGAATCGAGATAGATCCGCGGTCCTTGGAATTGCCCACCTCTACTATTTCGGTAGTCCAGCTGGATCCCTCTTGGGTGGCGAGGCGTACTTGACCCTCGCGAGTTGAAGCCATCACTTGAGCAGGGAACCCTGCGAATGTTAGCGGATATAAGTTCATTTCACAAATTACAAGTTTCACTTACCCTTTTCTGTAAGAAAGCCAACGGAGACGATCGAGCTCTCCTTAGCAAATATGTAGTTATTGGGTACTGCTTGGTCAACCCTAAGCTCTGTGATGACACCGCCCCGTCGGATAAGGATCAGAGGGGGAATGGCCATGGAATCGTCAGCGACAAAGAAGAAGGCTTCCGGTTTATGTCGATCCGGCTCTGCCCTAATAGGAAGACCCCACCGTAGCTCAACGAGATCCCAGAGTAGAACTTTGTCAGAAGTTAAGAGTGCAAGCCAGTGAGACTCTTCATCGATGCACATAGCTAGGACTGGAAACGGGATGATGTAAGAATCCGCATTTTCGCCCAACACATAACTCTTACCTCCGGCTTTGATATCCCAGACTCTGACAATTCTGTCTAACCCTATAGACACAAGGTGGCCATCAGAGCAGGCTGAGATCAAAGCGACATCTAAGGAATGACCTATGTTCAAAGTCTTAACAGAGAGGAGAGTGTCCCCATCTGGGCCACCTCGCGAGGAATCTGCTAATTCGTCCCACAGTAGATAATTCATTAGTAGACGAACTGCCGCTGCAACAATAAGTACCGTCAGCAGAAAAGGTGCCGATTGATGGCGTACAAAATCATATACGGCGGGTGTAAACCACGGCTCGTTGGCGGAAAGACCTCGATCTGATCCCTTGAGCACAAATACTGTAGGGTGATAGACTCTTGCAATGTAGCTATGGGCACCGGGCTTAACAGCATGAATAAGTTCTCGAGCTGTCTCGTGATCTTGAAGACCTAGCCACGATGCTGGGCTCCTACCCTGATGAACTTCAGATAGGGATGAAGCCGGTGATAGATCCTTGTATTTGGGAGAAATGCGAATGATCCGACTAAGTAATTTAACTACGCCTTCATTCTCCCAGAAATGCCATTGAGCAAGGAGGACGAAGCCCACCATGACAATAGTCCCTGCAATGCGTGTTGACATAGCGATTTTGCCCTGTAGCATCGCGTCTATCCATGTTTGACGTGGGTTAGAGCCAGAAGCAGAGCTTTGATCTCGAATTGACGCTTTCGCAAGTGCATCACTAAGCTCAGTTCGTCGAACATCGACACTGAGTACTGAGAGGAAGAACGTGGATAGATAGAAGAAGTCAAACATCAGTGCGATGGCTGCGAAGGTACAAAATGCCGAAACACCGGGGGATACGATTTTTGAAAAGCAGTATAAGAGGAGTACATTCTGGGCCACACTGGCCAGTGCGACGTGGCCTGTCTCACCAAAAGCCTGACCAACCCTATTGCTGGTACTATTTTCAGACGGCGTGAGAATGACAGCGTTAATGAGCCGATGGATGTTTTCAAGGCTCATACAGAAAATGACGACTGGATATCCCAAACGTGGAAGTCTCGATAGATCGATCTTAAGTATAGCGCATATGGTAAAGCTCGATAGTATGGCGAGAACGATTTGAGCCATAACCGTGACCATCAATCCCATTTTCGACTTAACAGCCCGTAAATTGGACAAGGTTGCCAAGAAGTAAATGAGAAGGACCGAATAGGGGACTCCTAAAACGATGACGTCTTGAGACGATATGGGACGAAACTTAAATTCATATAATTCGCTAGTCCTGCCGCTCGGAGAGTACTCAAATATATCCCAATAATCAGTCATTTCATACTTGAGAGCCTTTACCCTCTCCTGCCATAGACGACCAACCGGAGAGTCTCGGAGGTGAATGAGAGTAATGACAAGTGCATCAGCAGCGACAAGCCGACGATCTTGAAAGCGCTTCCCACTAAAGACGGTCGAATGCCTCAAGGTCACATTGACCGATGTTGGTTGGGATTTTCTCTCGTTTGCCGTCTCAATGATATCGTCATCCTGTTCTATGTTCTCTGCAGAGCACGACCAATACATTAGCGGAGACTGGAAGAACCAGGACTCGTTAGTCAGGCCATTTACGATATGATAGGCGTCACGTTGACTCGGCGTAAGATCCGTAGTCGTAGCATTTTGAGAGTGAGTATCATGGCCAATATGGCGTCGCGGATCGAAGTTGACTGTGGGACCAAGGAGTTCGTCTTGAAGTTCTAGAGCGCTGAGCAAAACGTTTCTATTAAGAGCCTGGAAATAGTCGCCGTGGACCCAGATCGAACGCATAATAACGTCAGGTTCGGCCCTATTCCTGTCGTGTAGGGGGAGAGTATCGGTCCAGGCATGTTCGGGAAGAGAGGACGCGCCATTGGTGAAATCGGTGGTATAGAGGAAAGGGAAAGGATACACAAGGACGGCGGCAACGGCAACGGATATTAATAAGGTCGTAACGACATGACTAGCAGCGTATCTTCCGTACCGAGCGAAAGCGCGACATAGGGGGTGCGTATCGGTAAGCACGGGGGCTTCGGTAGTTCTAGGGTTACCTTGTCAATTGAGCTGTATGCAAAGCAGACAGACGAGATAAAGCACAACATACCCTCTAAAAGGATAGAGAATATACCAAATCATTCTCTCCACACGTGGTGGGCAGTCACCAGATTGCGAGCTGCCCACAATAACTCGGCGCGCAGAAGAACGGTAGGCAAGGGCCTTTCCTGAGGTTGCAGGAGGAGGCGCATTATACTTCTCCAAGTTATGGCATAGGAGGAAGAGCGCTAGATATCTATAGAATATTCGACATATACGTATGGACAGACAGGTGGGTAGACAAGTAGGTACTTGTGTCGAGATTTAGGTATCTAATACAGTAGATGTCTCATCGTCGGGCCCGAAGTCTAGAGGATGGATCTTGGGACGAGGACGAGCGACCAAGGTAGGAATTATTCGATGGAAAAAGTAGGGACAAGTTGAAAGGCAGAAAATCGGACATGGAGGCGCTATCTCGAACTTCGTATGTCATAACAGGGAAATTTGATTAGTGAATGCCAATAGAAAAGCTACTCTAAGAGGACTAGACTACTAGAGCGGCGCCGCTGCGTTAGAGTATTGTCTTACTGTCTCGCCCTTGACTTGACCGAGTTAAGCTCACTCCGTCTGACTTGCGTAATAAGGTGGAAAGGTGGATGCAGGAAGATCGGATCTCGATTGATGTTGTATCTCGGGCGGGCGCTTTGAAGATTTCGAAGTTGCAGGGAAGAGGTTTGTACTTACAGTGTATTGAATGAGTGTACCAATAGACTAAACAAGCCAGGTAAGTGCTTTACGTATTGTGATTGTACAGACTGCTTCTTTTTTTTTTCTTCCTTTGCGACTTCCATCCGTTCTCTCATTGTAGGTGCCAAGTTTGGGACATGGACTTAGGACTTGGGACTTGGGACTTGGGACTTGGGAGGCGCGCCGGCGGGGCGGATTAGCGGGACTCGCGGACGGCCGGGTAGAGATCCTATTCCTTGGGTGACCTGGAAAACATCGTTGTAGCCCCCCCAAGCAAGCCCCTCGACAGTACAAGGTACACAAGTACTTCATCATTCCCTCCCTAAAAGAACCCCCTACAAGGTAGGTACTTCACTGCCCGGCACTCCACTCTTACCCCTCATAGCTGGAATTGCCTGAATTTTCGGTCTGGAATGGGAATCTTTGCTTTGCCCTTGGTTTTTCTTTTTTCCCCATCAAAATTGGCCGCCCTGGCTTGACAAACGCCTCCCGATATTAGGCAAAGTGCCGTGTCGAAGAATTCCCAACAAAGAAAAATACCTAAAAGATCATCTGTAGATATATATTATCAGTAGCAAACGACATGTCTATCAATATAGGTATCGAGGGAGCCGAGCTATGATGTAGCTGTAGCTGTTTGATGCATCATCGTGACGCTAATAGCTCATGACCGAGGTATTGAAGGGCGGAAGGAAATGCAAGCAGCTTCTAGCAAGGTGGGATCGTAAGGAATATGCCAGTAGATATATGTATGTATGTAGACGTCGCAACGGGGACTAGGGGGAAACCCGCAAAGCTGGGCTCTCCCTATATATTTATATTTATGAAATTCTGTCACTTGTCATCAACCCCATGCTGCGCGAGGTAACTGACCGCTTATATTGCTACCTAATAAGAAAATCATCTCCATCCTAATGACGACCAGCGGTCGCGGGCGGGGTTCGTCAAGTGAGAATCAGCTCACTTTCTCTCACGATGCCTTCCATTGGCGTGCCGTTATTGGTGCGTCCCGGGCAGATTAGGCAAGGGTTGCTAATTAGATCTCCCCAAACCAGATCCCCGGGAGCTACTAATCAAATATCACAAACTGTAAACGTACACTAGGTCCAAAAAAAAGATAAGAAACAGAGAGAGACTTTTCGTAGGGCTGGTTTCATCCAATACCTATCTGCGTGCGCGGTACCGGTGGATGCATCCCTCTAGCCTTACCTGCAACATATTATATCATATTGCTGTCATCCTTACATACCCCCTTCTCTAGAGAACGTATGATACGGCCCCGAATAACGGACGTCGCTGCAGCATAGCTCGAATCATTAGAGTCGACCCATCCGGAAAAGATGGAGAAGAACGAAGATCTGAGCGGCGACCCTATCGCGGAGCTGATCACTAGCTTTAACGAGCTCAACGCCGGCTCAGTCGAGGAACTAGATGAGGAGCCGAGCCCGCTCGAGTTCATGAGGTACGTAGCGCGGAATACACCCTTCGTCGTACGCGGTGGAGCTTCCGACTGGCCGGCCGTGAAACGCTGGACTGCCTCGTATCTCCGGGAGTCGCTCGCCGGCCATCATGTCAATGTCGCGGTAACACCGTATGGGAACGCCGATGCTCCCACCGATCAAGACGGCCATTTGATATTTGCCAAGCCGCACGAGGAGGAGCAACTCTTCAGTTCGTTTCTCGACTACTTGACATCTCAAGAGCTATCCTCCCACTCCTCACCTGAGAGCAGAGGGGAAGTTCGATATGCTCAGACGCAAAACGATAACCTCCGCAACGAGTACTCCTCACTCTACTCACAAGTACCACCCTCTATCCCTTTCGCACGCATCGCTTTGCAAAATGAACCAGACGCCGTGAACCTATGGATCGGGTCCTCCGCGTCGGTAACCGCATTGCACCGCGACAACTATGAAAACGTGTATGTACAAATCGCAGGACGCAAGCACTTCGTCTTGTTGCCCGCGCTGTGTCAACCGTGCGTTAACGAGCAAGAGCTCGAGCCCGCATCTTATGTCCGAGAGGCCCGAGGTCTGCGCTTACAAAAAGAGGATGGTGATAAAGTCCCCTTTGCAACTTGGGACCCCGATAATCCAACTATACGGAGTACGAAGTATTCGCATCTGGCGCGGCCCCTGAGGGTTACGCTAGAACCAGGCGATATGTTATATCTACCAGCCATGTGGTGAGTGCTAGCGTCAGCATATAAATCCGATATGCCCTATAGAACATTGGAGTGCTTACGGTCTATTTCCAAGGTACCATAAAGTCTCGCAATCATGTTCCGAAGAAGGTATCTGCGTTGCCGTCAACTATTGGTAAGACTTTGGTCCCTTAAGACGCATTTTTCCGCCCCTCCAAATGCTCACCCACGCATATAGGTACGATATGGAGTTCAGCGGATCTCTCTATTCCTTAGTATCGTTAGTCCGGACTATTGGTAATCAAGCAACAAAATAATATTATCTTCGTAGCCACAAGGAAACGTAAAACCGACCTCCTAGCCATACATTCTTAAATTCGTAAGTTTATCTAACTAGCTTATTCTCAATTCCTATGTGTACAGCACTCACTGGAGCTGAGCGTTGAATCCCCTATTAACTAACCCCCAGCAGTTGCACTCGGGTTTGCCAGTGCCCATCCAACCGGTACTCCAAACACCTTGCCATTCAGTAATACCAAGAGACTTATTCTCTTTGAACCAGCCACATAGAGCGTAGCCTACTCCAAGCATTAAATATTCACCTTCACACCCAATGGGTGTCTTGCCTCCTGGTCCAAAAACCTCCCCTTGTCATCGCCAATCTTCCTTCTAAACAATGCTAAATCCTCCAGGAGGTCATGCATGTAGTCCTGAACATCATTGGCCTTCTCCTCATACACATCCGATCCATATCCATCATCCTCGCCGTAATATGCCTCATCAACAGGACTGGCCCGGCCCTTCTCTGCGTTCTCCTTATCCGCTCCATCCCCTTCATTCTTAACAACCACCTCTGGAATAGGGTTCTTAAGGCTATCAAGCGCAAGTTTAAGATGCAGTCTCAAAGCCTCATTCTCCGTCTGCAGACTGCGGATCTTCCCTTCAGACACTAGACTACGCTCCTCCATCATGCGTTGCATGGCCGCGACACGGTTTTGGTACTCCTCTAGACGCTCTTCGCTCTCCTTGGCGTCCTTCTCGCGACGGCGCGAGTCTGATACAGATAGTTGCAATACTCGAATTTCTTCGGCCATGGCTGCAATCTGTGCGTCTCGCTCCGCCGTGCTGATGTGGTCCTGGTTGACCACGGCACGAGTACGGATTCTCTTCGCTTGATCCGCGTACCGCAACGTTGATAGCGTTTCCTCGTAGTCAGACGGTGCGATACACGCAATCATCGCCGTCTTACTGTTACCTCCTAGGGAGTCCTTCAGTAGCCACGTTAGGATGGAGTCACGGTACGGCACGACATCTCTGTGCCGCTTGCCAGGGCGTTGGGCCTTCGGGTCCGCGAGCGCTGCGATGACCCGACCTAGCGTCGTCAGGGATTTGTTGATGTTACTGCCCTCACGCAGTCGAGCACCAGTTGCCTCGGTGGATTTGGCTCGCTCGCTGCCCGCTAGATCGACTAGCCGGATTCGCGAGCTACGTTCCGTGGTCTCATCCGTTTCCATATCGTGGTGGATCTGCTTTAACATGATGGTAAACACCGCATGGCTTCGACTACTCGTGTCGTTCATCTTGGTGCTCGCTGTCGTACGACTTGCGTCTCCAGTCTTCATGTACCGAAGAATCTCATTCAGGCTTCGCACTGGCACCTCAGTCAGGTCCTTCACATACGGTCCCTCAGTTGGCGATTCGCGGATCTTCAAATAGTACGGGGGCTGATTTGGTATCACAGGAACAAGCAAGTCGCGGACGTGCTCATTGTATACTTCGAAGTAGGAGGCCCGTACGTGATACGAAATATTAGGCGTTTCCTCCTGCGCTGCTTCAATGCGCTGGAACAAGTCTTCACAGGTCCGCGGAATAAGTCCTGGTTGGTCGGGCGTACCCATCATTGTGTAAGACTTGCCGGAACCAGTTTGGCCATAGGCAAAGATGCAAGTATGGTAACCCTCGAAGTTGTGGTCGAGGAATTCCTCGCCCAGACAATTGTATACATCTTCTTGATGTGCGTAATATCTGTCCCTCGTGTTATGACTCCAAAAGGAATTATCAAATATAAATGACTTCTCCTCAACCACCTTACGTGACTTTGCTCTGGCATTCGCTGGGTCATGATCGTTTGGCACATGAAGTGTAGTCATCTGAGTGTGGGGATCCATGCTAATCAAGCACTCCGCACCCCTTTCGATCTCTATAATACAAGTTAATTATTCTTCAATTGATCTCGTAGATGAATAATTACAGAATTGTAAATGATACATACCTCTAGGCAAAAACGCCCGGACTCTCACAACGACCCTCACATTACCTCCCGCATCCATCCTCATTTGGGGCGGTAGTAAGCCATCTCGAGCACGCAGAGACGGTGTCGAAGCAGACGAATGCATGGTTCTCATATTTAACGACGACATAAGACGTGATTCTAGCATTCCAGTCAATGTTATACAAATGTCGTTGATGAGGTCG